CCGGCCCGCTGTCCGCCAGGGGCCCCCGACCCACAACGTCACCATTGCGCGGCTGGAGGGTCTCCCCGGGTCCTTCCCACGCAGCCCGCAGCCGGCAGACATTCTAGAGCGAGGCGGCCCAGCCAGCCGGAGCGGCTCGCAACTCTTCTCAGGATCTGGGCTGTGGAGAAGGAAACAGAGTCGGCTCCCCCGGGCCACCTGATTGGACAGTTCGTTCAGCTCGCCCCTCGACGCTGATTGGCTCCTGCCCCACTGCCCGCCCTCTGAGCGGAGAGCGATGACAGAAGCCCAGCCTTACCAGTGTAAAGACAACTCAGATGATAGATTGTAGCCCATAACCAGATATTTCCTGACCAGTTCGTCTCTCAGGAAGCTGAGAGCATTTAAACCTGCGTTTAAGGATAGTTTACCTCTAGCTTTGCAGAGCTGATTCTTTTTGTTTTTAAGTGTCTTTCCATGTAACTTTGTCTGTTCTTGAACTCATTGTTTAGCTCAGGTTGGTCTTGAGCTCAAAAGTCAATGGGAAACTAGAACAATGACAACCAGGCAGAATGACAAGTAGTTCAGAACCTTCGGGAATGGTTTGAGTAGCCTCACCAGGGAAAGAACCAAGACCTTCTGAGGTGCTGCAGAAGGCCATGGACTACAGAAGGAGTGGTAAAAGAAGGAAGTTGTAAAAACTAGCTACAACCCTGTGATCAGCTACAGAAAGGATATTTATAATTGTAGTGGTTCTCTCCTAATATGCTTCCAATTGGAATATGTTCATGGACTCAACTTTGGTTCTTAAGTATTGTTAAACTTTATGAAATAGTAGGAGTTAAGAGTCACCCAAAGAAAACTTGCCTTCTATTCTGGGGAGGGAATGAGTGCATTTCCTTTTGTACGCGGGATAATTATATGAGAGGTGTAATTATGCATTTTTCTTTGTGTCTGGAGACTATGGTGTAAAGTCTGGTTGTCAAGTTGATAGCTGTGCTAGTTAACTGATTGTGTCAATTTGAGTAAGAAATGCCCAAATAAATGGGATCGGATTTACTGAAGACAGAAGACCCACCTCAGAGAGTCTCGTCATCCAAACCTTATAAAAATTAAACGAAGAATGATCCGCAGCTCTTCTTTTGAAGCTTCTGTAGTCTTCACTTTCCCTTTGGATGTTGTCTCCTGGCTTCCCTTCACAGACCCTTCAGCCTCCAGCACAGACCTTTTAGCCTCCCTATGTAGACTTACCCCGGACCCTGCAGTGAGCCCCTGGCTCCAGTGTGCAGACAGTACTCTGCCATACCTAGCTTGTGGGCACCTATTGTAAGCCAGTCTTGTCAATTCTTTTTTTTCTTTTTATTGAGTTTATTGGTACAATCTAGGTATACAATACAGTTACATTCATCATTGGGATTCTGTACCTTTACATAATAGGTCTTGATTCTCATTTTTTCCCCTTGTCCCTGTCCTGCCTTCACCTCCTCCTCCCCTCCCCATTTACACACACACTTTATTTCCATTTTTTCAGTTTCTCATATTTTTTTCCTCTCCCTTATTACCTTTCCCCCACCCTTCCCACTTTCCCTACACCTTTAGCCCTTTACTTCCTATTTCACATTATTAATTATCTCATTGGGATCCTGTGTACTATTATAGTTTTTCACACCAAAGAAACTATTCGGTATTTCAGTTAAAGAAATCTCTGTATGAACATTAAAAATAGGGAATCCTAAAATAAAACTAAAAAGGAAAGTAAAAGAGAAAAGGCAATGATGTAACATTAAAATAATCCTTAATTCTGGAAATGAAAATGGTCCCTGAACATATTTAAATTGCTTCTTGCTCTTATAGTCTTATCTTATTTTTTTCATTATTTAGAGAATGCTTTATTAGTTTCTGTAATCAAACCCAAGCAGATATGACCTTACATATTTAGTACAATGAGTTACCCCTGTACACATGGAAAAAAATAAAAATAAAAAAATTAACATTTCTAGACCAATATGGCTGTCCATTTCTGTACAATGCCAATTCAACACAGTAAAATGGGATGACTTTTTCCAAAGTTGGCAGCACCATTAAAGTTTCCCAAAATTCAATTTATATATATAT